GCGGTCCCCGAGGTATAAAGCAACCATCTTAAAGATGGATGCAAATAGGTGGTCCATCTAAAAACAATTGAAACGAACGGTCCAAATGTTTTCTTAATAGAATTATTATTTTTAATTTTCAAAATTTATTTATTTTTCATATTCATGATCTCCATGTTAGAGATTACATGTCCTTAAAAATTAGGTCCAAAAATCCATCTCAAAAATATATTTTTAAAAGGTGACTCATTTCTACATGGACTCATAGAAACCGTGTCCTTACTTATTTCCATTTGATGTTGTATTGCTTGATTTTCAGATGAATTATAGCCGTGAAATCCCTGACCTAAGCCCTCTTTTTGTCATGAAAACCAATCTTTTATTGCCTCATCTCGGAGTCCCCTCTCCTTGGCTTTTCATAATTTGATTTTCTTTTTGTTTTAGTGGTTTCAAAGCTCACAAAACGAATTCTCTCTCTGCATTTAAACCGTGTGAGCCTTTTAACTACATCATCAACCTCATCAAAGAGGACATTACTTCATTTTTCTGCTGTGATGAAATAAAGGTCACCTTTCATTGAAGAGCTTCCTATTTCTCATTCTCAAAGTACAAAGGATCAAAGAAATTTATGGATCTTCTGCAACTGGCTGGAGTTTTGGCTCAAATTTTCACCGGAATTTGGATTTTTTTTTCTTAATATGTTCACCCAAATTTGGATTTGAGGTGACTGGTTAGATATAAGACATGGGTTTTTCTTTTTCCTTTTTCTTTTTTCATGTGGTTGTGCTTTTCTTAAATTGGGAAGTAATGGGGAAATGGGTTTATGTTTTGCTGTTTCTTCTTCCTCAGCCTCACAGGAAGGAAGAAATTTTGGAAATGCCTCTATGTTGTTGAGCAAATTCAGTTAATTCCTCTCTTGATTTTAATATTTTATTGTGCATAATTAGCAGGGAAGAGAGAGAGGAGAAAGTGAATGTTATACAGATAATAGAAATAAAGTGAATGTTATACATAGAATTTTATTTCTTTACTATGTGTGATTTAGGAAGGAAAGAGGGAATATGATAGACATAGGGGATCACATGGGATCATGGGAAAAGGACATCGGGACTGGAGAGATCTGGGAGCAGAAAGAAAAAGAGATGGACAACACAAGAGGAGAATTTGAGTAGAGGGGGAAAATTGGGGACAAAGTGGGGGGAAAAGGGCAATTGGGGCTCCTGGTTCCCTGTCATCCATGCCCTAGTTTTTAGGGTCTGCACCATCCAGTTCTATGAATGGTGCAGACTCAGGGCCCACGCCATTACAGGTGCGACCCCTGACGCACAAAAACTAAGTCCTTTATCTAAATACACGTAAAACATAAGTTGGCTAGTCTTGCAGTCAACAGAACCATTTCCAGCTTAGGATTGAGTTTCATTGGGGAGAATCATGACAAAAAATTCTAGAAATACACTACTCATTTTTTATCAGTTTGAGCTCTACTCATATTACTGACAAAATGTCAGTCATTCTACATTTCAAGTTCAAACTTGTATCATGTTCCCGTTAGTCTACACTTCAAGAAATATGAGATTCACTAGAACTGAAAACCAAGTTTCGAGACAACTACAACTTGTAATGTAGAACATATTTCCTTGCTTGCAGAATGAGATCTGACTCTTGACACCTCAACAATACAATATGACAGAGAAAGAGAGGGAGGGAGAGAGATTGGGTTGCCAAAGAATTGCTCAAAGAGAGCTTGAATACCAAAGGAAAAGACCCCAATAACAAAAGATAATGTTCTACTGCAAAAGTAAAAACAGGTTTAGAAAGAGACTAAGTTATGCCAAAATTAAAAACTAAATGTATGTCACAAATAAAATTACAAGGAACACTCCAGAAAACAAACACTTCAGAAAACAAATAATGCTTTATAATGAATAATTTTTATTGTAGAAGTGAATTATTAGTGATAAGAGATGTATCCAAACAGACCCTAAAACAATGGTTAGAAACCAATAAATTCAAAATATAGAAAGATCAAAGTCTCTAAGAGAATCTTTTTTTTTCTTTTTTGAATAATCTCTAAGAGACAATCTTTATTAAAACAATCCCACATATTTACCTGATCTTGATATTGACAACTTTGATTCTTTTGATGGAGTCTGTAATGCCGTTAGTCCTTTTGATGGAGTTTGTAATACGTTTAATTCTTTTGATACAGGAATCCTTAATGCCTTTGATTCTTTTGATGGAAAATGTAATGTCTTGAATTCTTTTGATACAGGAATCCTTAATGCCTTTAGCTCTTTTGATGGAGAATATAATGTCTTGAATTCTCTTGATAAAGGGGTCTGTAATGCCTTCAATTCTTTAGATGAACTAGTCCGTGATTTCTTCACTAAATTCACAGAACAATTGAGCTCAGGATCCAGTATCTGACAAAGAAGATAGTAAACATGAAATCATGGGAAAAAGAAAAAAGAAGAAGAAATTCCTAATTCTAGTGAAGGCTCCAAATCCTAAGGAAATAAGCATCAAATGCATAACATTAACTAATGATATAGGTTCACAAGTTATAAATGCCAATTGCAATTTTGTTGAGCTTCCCATTGACACGTTGTAATATTTTCAATCTTTGTGAAACGTTTGTGTAAATTAAAGTCTGTTTTTATATTATATAGTTTATAATATAGATCACTCTTGAATCATTTACATCATTTTCTATAAAACAGTCACATATGTTACTCATACAAGATCATATCAAGCCCATGGCTATCCACTTCTCAAGTTCATCACATGTGATGTGCCCATAAATCAGATTATAGACAATGGTAGTGGCACCTACCAATATATGGCTAATATCAGTGATTTCTTTGTCTTAAACTCAATGCTCCATAGTGCCCATACTCCATGATGAATGAATTAAGTTCATCATGTGTGACGTGGTGAGAGATATGTACGAGGGAGAGCTGACCAATATAAGAACAACTAGTGGAGAGACAAGTGAGTTCTCAATGATAATAGACTTACATCAGGGGTCAATGTTGAGCCCATATCCCTTTGTTTTGGTTTTGAATAGTTAATTAGGCGTCTACAGGATGAGGTACCATAGTGCATGTTTTTCAGGGATGATGTAGTTTTGATTAATGAGACCAGAGTCGACGTCAACGCAAAGTTAGAACTTTGGAGGATGCTCTAGACTCTAAAGGTTTTAAAATTAGACGGACTAAAACAAAACATTTGGAATGCAAATTTAGTAATAAAAGGCAGTGTTCAAGAAAGCGCAGGCGCCCGCCTATGCATTTTGGGTGCCTGGCCGACTAGGCGCCCAGGCACCCGCCCAGAAACAGGGTACAAAAAAGACTTAACACATTAAGACTTAAATGGATATATAAGATCTTAGTTTCACTTAAATGAATATATACGATCTTAGTTTCACTTTCACATAATACTTAACTCATTAAGATATCACATAATCAATAATTTATCCAATAAGAATATAAAAACATGACATATTGTACAAAAAAGGAATCAACTATTCATAAAACAAGACGATATATGCCTAATTTCATCATCCAAATGAGGAAAAATTCAATTAATCACAAAAAAAAAAATCAATCTTTCAACTACAAATATGTAAATATATCGTAAAAGGAAAAAAAATAAAAGAAAAAACAAATGATTCACAATATAATACGTTGTAGCAAAATCAAATCAAAACCCTGTTTCAAATATGATAATACTTTTAAAATATCAAAATCAAATTGATATTGGTGCAAACCTCAACTATTGGGTTGTCAAAGTCCTCAAAATCAATTACTAGAAGCTTCAAATCCACCCACGAACTATTGCCTTTATTTTTGGAAGAAATCAAAAAAATAAAAGCTTTATCAATCTTTCGATAAATCACAAAAGAGTGGTTTTTGAGGAGTTTTTCTCTCCCTAAAAGGCAAGGTTTTGGTTTTGGGGTTTAGAATACCCCCAAAACCTTTTTCCCCCCTTTATAGGGGAAAAAATGACTTTTTTTAAGCTTCACCGAGACACTTTTCCGCCTTTTTGCAAGTTGTTACGAGGTAGGCACCTAGACTGTAGCGCCTAAGCGGCACCTTGACCGCCTAGGCAGGTGCCTAAACGCAGGACGCCAAATAGTCCCGCCTCCTGAGCGCCTAGTCGTTTTTTGAAAAAATCCGCCTAAGCGACCGCCTAGGTGGTTGGGCAGGTGAATTTTTGAACATTGATAATAGGAATAGAAAAAATGAAGTAGTTAAGATTGATGACCAATAAATACCTAAAAGAGATTGCTTTCGATATCTTGGGTCGATAATCCAAGAGAATAGAGAGATTGAGGAAGATGTCATGCATAGAATTAGATCTGGGAGGGTAAAATGAAGATGTGTATCCGAAGTTTTATATGATCCCTGCATACGAATGAAACTCTAAAGGAAAAATTTTATAGGACAGCTGTAAGACCAGCCATGTTTTATGGAACGGAATGGTGGGCGGTCAGGAAACAACATAGTCATAGGATGAGTGCACCGAAGATGAGAATGTTGAGATGGATGAGTTGCAAGACAAGAAAGGATAGACTTCGGAATGCATACACACGAGGGAACTTAGGGGTGACTCCAATAGGCGATAAACTGATGGAAAGTATACTTAGATGGGTTGGCCGTATGCAGCATAGAGCTAATACAGCACTGGTTAGGAGGGGTGATTTAGTTCAAGTGGAGGGCTTTAAAAGGGAAAGGGAAGGCCCAAAAAGGCCTAGATGGAAGTAGTAAGAAGAGATATGGTGACTTATGGTCTAACTAGGGGTATGGCCCTTGATAGAGCAGAATAGCGATATAGGATTCTTGGAGCCGACCGCAAGTAGTTGGGAGAAGGCACGAATGATGATGATGATGATGATGATGATGATGATGATGACGATGATGACAATGTTGACGTGTGAGGTGCCCATAAATCCGATTATAGATAATGGTATTGATACCTACGAATACATGGCTAATCTCTGTGATTTCTTTGTCTTAAACTCCATGCTCCATATTGCCCACACACCATGATGAATGACATACTAAAACTAACAATATAATAAACAAAACCTTGACCATTCAAAATTTATTATAAAAACTAGAGCATGCTAGCAAGTAAGAGCTCCATTAGCAGGTGTCCATGAGCAATGCCACAACATCCACTTGTAAACCAATATTTGTCAAGAAAAAAGTTTATATAAGGTGTAAACCTTATACTATACAAGTAAGGTGCGCCTAAAAATCCACCCAAAAAGGTTCCAATGTCGAAAAGCCCTATAATTGATCATCTCGACCTCGAGGTTTATGGATATGCAAAAAAAAATTTATGGCATAAAAATAGTGAACCTTGTAACACATTATCTAAATAGTCCACTTTTAAAAAATTTATTTGCTTATAAGTCTACTGGATTTATAAGATTTATGGAGTTTTAAATTTCATAATTAGAGGTGAAAATAGATTGTTTAGTCATTGTAAGGATTTGCCACACCAGAACTGCATATTGAAGCAAGATTTAGAGGTGTACGTTACTTTGATTGCTCGATACCTTATACAAACCAGACCCATTTGTCGATAATGTATCCACCTCAAAAGATCTAGCCAAGCGGCAGCTCGTTTAAGCATTTGAAAGACTAAACCTAAGTCCTCAATCCAGTGGTACAACATTCAATCTTTAATTCTCTTGAACCACATATTGCCAGTCAACATTTTACATGAATATCATGTATTAACGAAATATACAAAGGGATAATAAACTATAAGACCATTTCTTTTTCGTATAAGGAGGTCACAATCACTCATAGCCATCAGCTATGAAAATCCACAGCTACATGTGTCACATAATTCAAGAAATTATATCTTGGATATTGTGCCCAGTCAATGACCATAGTTACCGGGATTGCCTCCCTTGCTTGGAGATCCCTTGCAGAACCTCAATTCTCACGCTCCCCGAGTGGATCTCGTCTGAAACTCAATTTAGTGTCTTCGGGATCTCGCTCCATCTTCTAAGGGAACGAGTTCCTTACAATTTAATTTCACGTTCCTAAACATTACATGATCTAGTTCCCTAGTCTTATGGTTCACGTTCCAAAGTGTATTGGGATCTAGATTCCAAAATAACGGATCACAAGCATCGCCATATACGGCATCCAGATCCCACCAATATGGGATCGCAAGTGTGAAATGATGGAATATCTCTCTCCCCCCCTTCAAGTGGTTGTTAAATCCTGATATTGGATGCTAAGGTGCAAAGCCAAGGTTTTGGACATTGCTCTCTCTCCCCCCTCCATTCCTGCAAGGTTATACAATGCCCTCCCTCCTTCCCTCCTTGTGTACAACCCCCCCATAAAACCCGCCCCCCCACCATACAATTACACCAAATCCTCACCCACTAATATTTTATCATAATTTTTCATCAATAGTTACGATATTTTATGGCAAGTTTATAGCAATAAATAACTGTTCGTGATCCTCAATAATAAGTACTCACCTTTATTTTCTTTTTTAGAAAGCAATACTAACAACACAATTATTCCATGCACATATGGTGTTGAGTTGTATTTCGTTACCCAACTATTTAGAGTGTCATAATTTGTTTAATGACATGATCTATCTACTATACTAATATAATGAACAAGGGACTAGTTTGAAGTTCCTTATTTATTTCATAGAAGATTAAGCCTACATGTTATTGGTCAACAATACTAGAGCTACATTTTAAAGCCATGGATCCTTATTCAAACCTACATGAGGAACTCGTGTTCAAAGAAAATGAAGCTCACTCCTATTAAAGTTATTCCTCGCTCCATAATATGTTGGAGCACTTTTACTTATGCACTCCTTGAGTTAAGAAACTCAAAAAGATGCCCTTGGGAACTTTCCTTCTTACGTATAGGATCTCGCACCTTTATATAATAATACTTGATCCTATGTAAAAAAAGGGGCTAGATCGCCAACACACACGGACTTCGATCCCTACTTTTGAGGCTGTACGAGCATCGATCCCTAACACAAGGATCTTCAGTATAGCTTCGATCCACCGACCCTCCCCCGATCCCGGAACCAATGATTCAAAAAGCGGACCGCCCAACGCCTAGGCGGTCGGAAAGGCCTGGGCGCATTGCTCAGGCCTAGGCGGCCAATCTGGGCGGTCGATCCCTGGGCGGGCGCCTAGGCTGTACGGAACCCGCCTGGGCGGGCGCCCAGGGGCGGAAATTGATTTTGATAGGGGCAATTATGGTCTTTTGTTTTTGTTTTTAAAGGCTAAAACTTAGGGTTTTAAGTTCATTTGAACCCTAAAACTTGTTGGAGCCAATTTTTGAGAGAGAGCTCCCAAAAATCTAGTTTTTGTGAATTTTTTAGGATCGAAGGGTTTCTCGAAGTTAACTAAAATTGATCAAAACATCACCCATTGATATTAAATTTACTTTGTGATGTTTTGCAAAGTTATTAGAGGGTTTTTTAGAAATTTTTAGTATTTAGAAGCATCTTTGAGGTAGAAGTTTGAAGACTGATAAATCAAACTCAAAATAAGTGATTTTTTTTATTGCTTTAGTAATTTGCATTATTTTTAAGATGTTTTTTCGAGATCTAATAGGAGTGGTGATCCCAGTTGGAAAAATGGCTATAACCCAAATCCTAATGATAAAAATTGCATAAGATGCAAGTTGTGAAAAGGATAAAAAAAGGGGCATAAACTGGTTCAAGAAACATCTTGTCGGTATCAGGGGGGATGTTGCCCCATGTAAAAAGACTCTTGATGCTTTAAAGAGGAAATAAATAATTTTTTGAACATGGTGAAAATGAAAAAAGATGAGAGATTTGCCTCTATAGCAGAGATCAGGTTTGGAGTTCGGGCCAATTTTGATGATGATGATAGTGATGAAGAATGAAGAAAGGATTGGAGAGGGATGTCAAGAGGTTGAGCAATCCATTATTAAGGGAAAGGGGAAGGGAGTTGTAATTGCTTTTGGTTCTGGGACTAAGAAGCATCGGGTTAGAGACCCTATGAATAGCTTTTTACCTCGACCTGATCCCGAGGTTGCAGGAGAGAAAACAAAAAAGTAAACCACCATTGAAATAGAATCAAGAAGGAAGAGAGAGATAAAGCTGCATATTATCTTGGTACATGGTTTTATGAGGCAGGCATTCCTTTCAATACCACTCGCTTAAGCAACTTCTATGCTGCGATAGAGGCCGTTGGCCAATTTGGCCCTGGGATGAAACCCCCAATCCCATATGAGCTTTCAGAGCCTTTTTTAAAAAAGGCAATGAGTGCCACAACGGAAGCTGTAGAACTTAAAAAGGATACATGAGCTCAGTATGAGGTTTCTATTATGACTGATGCTTGGAGTGATAGGAAGAGAAGAAGTCATATGAATTTGCTTGTGAATTGTCCTGCAGGGACTGTCTTTTTGAGATCTATTGATGCCTTTGATCATATCCATGATGCCTCTGATCATATCCATGATGCCCATTACATATTTCAAGTGATATGCAGCAACAATGCTGCTCGTAATATTGCTGCATCTAATTTGTTGCGCATAGCTTATCCTAGAATCTTTTAGACACCATGTGCAGCACATTGTATAGACCTCATGCTTGAGGCTCTTGGCGGTTTGATTGAGATATCCGGTGCAGTGAAGAAGGCCAAGTTAGTTATAAATTTCATTTATAGCCACCATCTCACCCTCAGCATGATGCGTACTTTTACAAAGAAGAAAGAGATTATGAGGCCTGGGGTCACAAGATTTGCGACCTGGTACTTATGCCTAGATAGCATACATTCGAGGAGAGTGCAGTTGAGGCAAATGTTTATCTCGAATGAGTGGAAAGCATGCAAGTGGTCAAAGGATCAGGTTGAGAAGAAGGTGAGAGATATTATACTTTCTAAGGCTTTTTGGAGAGGGGTGAAGGGCACTCTTAAGGTATTTTTTCCTCTTGTCAAAGTCCTTCGCATGGTTGATAGTGACAAGCCTTCTATGAGCTACATATATGATGCTATGGAGAAATGCAAAAGAGAGATAGCCCAAAATTTCAATGATGAAAAAACCCACTACAAGCTTATTTGAGAGACTATTGATGAGAAGTGGGATAGGCAGCTACATCGGCCATTGCATGTAGCTGGTTATTATTTGAACCCAGTTTTTTTTATATTGACAAGGATATACAAATAAATGACACAATTATGAATGGATTTAATGAGTGTGTAGAGGTGCTAGTCCCTGATCCTGATATGTAGGATATTATATGTGCTGATGAGCTGATAAATTACAAGTGCTCATTAAAGTCTTTTGGGAGTCCAATGGCGAAGAGGCAAAGGACCAAAATTAATCCAGCTATTAATAATATTCTTAAGTTCATCTTCATCAAGTTCAAGTAATCAAGTAATTCTATTATTTATTTATGATATTTTCTATATCTTTGCAGCCCAGTGGTGGAGCCAACATGGGTGTAGATCTCCAAATTTACAAAAGTTGGCCATTCGGATCTTAAACTTAACCACTTCTTCATCCAGTTGTGAGCGCAATTGGAGTACTTTTGAAGGGGAAGGCCGTAAGGGTAATTTGTATAATTTTATAAATAATACATGAACCATAGATATTAGATTTTAATTAGTTTCATTTGATTTTGTTAGATTCATTCAAAGAAAAGGAACAGGCTTGAATCAAAGAGGCTCAATGACCTAGTCTATGTCAAGTACAATCTATTCTTGAAAGACAGGTTTGCTAAGCGAGATAAGAGAGACCCCGTCAGATCAAAAAATATGGACCATACTATGGAGTGGTTAGTTGATGATGATGAGGTCAAGAGGCATGAAGGATTGACATGGGACATGGTCATGGATTCTTCAGGGACATCAGCTGCACAGAGAACAAAGATGGAGGAAGAGGACGAAGAAGAGGTTGATTCAGAAGAGACGGAGGATGACAGGGACGACAAATATGTCGAGGAGAGTGACAACTCCATCGACTCCGATGAATATGATGCCAATGCAGCTGACCTAAGATTTTCTAATGATGGATGAATGATGAATGTTGATTGTTGAATAATTATTAAACTTCGAAGTTTGAACTTTGATTGAAGTATTGTGTATTGAACTATTGAAGATTCTTTTGAGTCTTCAAGTATTACTGTCATAGTTTCTTAATTCAGTTTTGTTTTCTTCCTCATGGTGGTGTACTACAGTACTGGTGTGATACTATTTGATAACTTGGTTGGTTGGAAAATTTTAAGTTTTAATTGGATATGGAGTATGAATCAACTTATAGATTATGGTTATGCTTATAAAGTGTGTGTTAAATGCTAGTATGTAGTATAATTTGAATTATGTATTGCAATACATACAACTGATACTGACATAATTGCATAATCCTTATTTGGATTCAACTGGGCCACCCAGGTTATGGGCCCCCGCCTAGGCGTTGGGCGGCCTGGACCCCCCAGGCCGCCTAAGACCCGCCTAGTGCTTTTTGAAACATTGTGAACCATTCCCGTTCCCTTCCCCCACAACTATTTCAATGACACACTCCCAGCCACCCAATTTCGCATCTAATAACTGATAATGATCGTGACTTATACCAAAAATAAATGGTCTTTTTCTATACATTTCCATAGATAAAATTTTTTGTTGAATCACATAATCATGTCAATGTAAAATTCTAGGTTTGAATTAATGTTCATTATAATCATAAAAGTTACTCTGTAAGATGTATATATGCTTCACAATTATTTACGCCCACAATTACAACAACCACAAATCTGCACATTTCACACCATCTCCTCTGAGGAACAAAGTCATACAGGACATACACATATATCTATGTCTGTATTTATGCATTCCATATGTGTATCTATATATATATATGTATATGTTCTAATTTTAAAAAACGAATAAAATTTGGCTCCAAGTAAGACCAATGTGATGCTAAGATGAAGCTCCAAATATACAATTGAAAATGTTCTTATGATAATATCCTAGTGCAATATAACACACCTTCTCATAAATAAGCATTGAAACAACCATGTATAAATTATAGGTATTAAAAAACATACAGCAGCAGTGCGCTTTCTTCTAACCTTGCTACCAGCCACCTGAGATGCTTTTTTGTTACTTTCAAGCACCTTCAAAGAAACACCAGAAGGAGAGGGAACATCCCAATCACTCAACTTTGTACCATGATATTTTACACCTTCGGGAGTGATCACTACATCAACTTTGCTATTAGAGTAAAGAGAGCCAAACCCCTTTGCACATTTGGGTTGTTCATTGTCAATTCCTTTTGATATAGTTTCCTCATTGATTGATCCAAATCTCACCTTACTTGAACTCGAGTCATTCACATTCACATTTGCTTGACCCAAGCAAACCTCGTATTGTTGAATGCGGGCCACTGAACTAGACTTTGACTTAGTTGTCTGTCTCTCACTCTCACAGGCTTTTCGTTCTTCTTCATTTTGTTTATGGAACCTTTCTGTCTCACTTGGGAAAAGATTTCTACCAAAGAGATGAGTTATGGGCAAGAATGTACTGGAACCATTATTTGTTTCCACTTCACGAATGGAGAAGCCTGCACATATAGATAGGCAAATGAAAACACCGATAATTAATCACTTACAACATAGACAATTTATTAGCAGATATACCTGAAGAGTCCTCAGAAAGAAATTGGGAAACAAGAATTTTCCAAGTATAAGGGAATCCTATCCGGAAAAGGCCACTGATCTGGTTAAGAATTCACAAGCACTAAAAATATCAGCAAAAGGACATCTCAAAGGAAAATTATAAGGAAAAATGAATTTTCAATCATACCTCAAAAGGAAAACCATTTTCGAGAGTCCATTGTTCATCAATACATCCTTCAAGCAATAGTATTGCCCCATCAGAAGTCCTAAGCCTGAATGCACTGATTCTCTCTTCAATGGGGCAAGAGTGGAAGTGCCTGTAGCAACCAAAGTTACAGGCAGCATGAAACAACATAAATTACAACCAGAAAAGTCAACAAATGAATAGTTGCGGAGGCTTTTTTTTTTTTCATGTAATACGATCTGATTCATTATGCAAATTATAAATCTAGACACAATTTATCTTCAGGGGAAATATTTCAAAAATATTTAATAAAATACTCGGGAAGAAACAAACTAGGCCCAATAAAATGTTAAAATATCAAACGCGACATTGCAAATCATTCAGGAATGAACAATGAACTTTAAAGCCAAAACTTGATCCTCAATGTGAAACAATAAATTGTAGCGAGTCATTAAAAAGTTATTAGTTCCCCAAATAGCTAAAGAAATTGAGCAATTTAGGACACAACTAATATCCAATTATACATGTATCCCACCAAAAACCAGGTGATAACGTCCAAACCTTCCTAGTGGCTAATAGAGAAGATGTTGAAACCCACTTTTAGCTCTGCACTCATAACCCCAATATCCAATGAGAAACAACATTCTTGAAAATTGAAGGAAAAAGAAGAGGTGAACTCTTTGTTTGGAGTTTACCAGAATTATTCGAGAAGTAATAAATTATTGAGTTATCAATACGGTTCAAACGTAACTGAAACCATAAGACCCAAGACCCAAGACCCAACAACCCCAATTATACAATGTCACAGAAACCCTTCAAAACTCACGTTTTCGAATGAAAACCACCAACAGCCAATCTCTTGCCAGAAGTTTCACTGGGTACCTTCATAAGGTACCAGTTCTTCAAAACAACCTGCAAAACTCAGTCAACAATGGATTAAAAAAAGAATCAAGAACTTGATGAATAGTATAGCGAGAGAGGGGGGAAATGTGATATAATGGAATAATGAAAAACTTGAGAAATAGAAAAAGATAGAACTCAAAGAAAACAGAGGGAGTACCGGTTTTTTCTCAAAGAACTTTGGGCTGGACAGTGCGGTTAACCCCATTACCAACTCTCTCAGTACTGATGCTATAGAAATAAATGAATTTCGGCTTTAACCTTCTCTATTTATACACCTCAGCGTATGGCGGGAATGAAACAACCGAAACGGCCCCATCTACGTTAGACAGACGAATGTATCCCTTGAGTGTTTTTTTAATACATTTTCTTAGGACACAGTTTCTACGAGGGAAAAAGATTATATAAAGATGCCAACTACGGATGCCCTAAAAAATCCATCGGAAAAATAG